GGGTGGGGGGGTTGCAGTACTGCTACCGGCAGCGGCGCTGCCTTGAGAGCTGGGCAGCTGGAGAATGTCAGCTGCTGGCCGGGACCCCAGCTCTGAAGGCAGAGCCACGACCAGCAGCAGCACAGAAGTAAGGATGGCATGGTGTGGTATTGCCACCCTTACGTCTGCACTGCTGCCTTCAGAGCTCTGCCCTCAGTCAGCAGCCACCACTCTCCAACTGCCCAGCTCTGAAGGTAGCAGCGCAGAAGTAAGGGTGGCATGGTATGGTATTGCCATCCTTGCGTCTGCACTGCTACTGGCGGGGTACTGCCTTCAGAGCTGGGCACCTGGCCAACAGTCGCCGCCCTCTGGCTGCCCAGCTCTGAAGGCAGCGCAGAAGTAAGGGTGGCAATACCACGACCCCCCTAAAATAACTTTGTGATCCCCCTACGGACTTCCTTTTGGGTCAGGACCCCCAATTTGAGAAACGCTGGTCTCCCCCCTTGAAATCTATATAGTATAGGGTAAAAGCACACAAAAGACCAGATTTCATGGGGAAGACCAGATTTCACGGTTCGTGACACATTTTTCATGACCGTGAATTTGGTAGGTACCCTACTCAGAGCTCTATCCCACTCATGCCCTCATCTTCCAGTCAAACAGCTGCCGTGCTTTAATGTTTTCCTCATCTCTTCTGCAGACGGGATCCACAGCGTGACAGCCCAGTGCGTCCTGCGTGTCATCGTCATCACAGAGGACATGCTGGCCAACAGCATCACTGTGCGGCTGGAGAACATGTGGCAGGAACGCTTCCTCTCGCCGCTGCTCACCAGCTTCCTGGAGGGCGTGGCCACTGTGTTGGCCACACCCAAGGAGGATGTCTTCATCTTCAACATCCAGAACGACACGGATGTGGGGGGCTCGGTGCTGAACGTCAGCTTCTCAGCGCTGGCTCCCCGCGGCGGCCACTTCTTCAGCTCGGAGGAGCTTCAGGAGCAGCTGTACATGAAGCGCATGACTCTGACCTCCGTCTCCATGCTGGAGGTGCTGCCCTTCGATGACAACGTCTGCCTGCGGGAGCCATGCCAGAACTACATGAAGTGCATCTCCGTGCTCAAGTTCGACAGCTCGGCCCCCTTCATCGCCTCCCCGTCCACCCTCTTCCGGCCCATCCACCCCATCACAGGTCTGCGCTGCCGCTGCCCCCAGGGCTTCACCGGGGACTACTGTGAAACCGAGATCAACCTGTGCTACTCCAACCCCTGCCATAATGGGGGCATCTGCACCCGCAGGGAGGGTGGCTACACCTGCATCTGCCACCAGCACTTCACAGGTAAGGGCCTGATCCCCGCTGACGGGGAGGGGCACATTGTGTTGTGAGCATGGCTCTACCAGGCCTGGCCATCAGTGGGGAAGAGGGTCTCTGCTATCCCAGGATAAAGAGACCTGCTTTCTGACGTGTCTTTGCCACACACCTTTCCAGCAGTAATAATCCTGGGTCTTCGCTCTGTAAAGGCGCCAGAACAGGGCGGGTTGGTTACGGCTTTTGTATCCGAAACAACCCATTGCAGCAGCATGTCAGAGTCTTGTTGGGAATGGCTCACTAGAACCACAGGGGCAAACGCTGACATGGTCAGCTTAACCCTTCATCCTTCCAGAATGGGGACCCTGTGGGTCTGTCAGACCCTGTCTGCCTGGATGGACAATAGAGACTAGAGTATGGGAGACCTCCTCCCATACTGGGCAATGCGTGGCACTGGGCTGAGCAACTCTGTCTGCTAGGCTGCTACCCTCTCACCCCACAGAAGTCCCTGTGTTTCCATGGTGCTGTATGAAACAGGGTAAAGGAGAGTGGTATTAACATGGCCCTGAGCAGTCTCCTGGTTTCCTCCCATCCCCCTCGCTCCTGAGGAATCAGCTGCTAATGCTGCAGACTTAGTGGATTCTGCTGCTTTGAGTTTGTAAAAATGTCACCTGGCTTGTGTTTGCTGGTTTAACCAGGACGGGAGGCACTAGGTACAAAATGCCATGGCCCTATGCCTGGCACCGGGCCTGACAAGGGAATCAATGCCATGGGAGCTCCCGGCTCTATGGAGAAGTTTGTAACAAGGCTGAAACCCTTTGACTAAAGCGAAATGCCTAGTCCTAGCCCGGTATGTCGGGAAGTGGGGATTTTGGGGTTACCCCATGCAGAGGGGACTCTCCTCTTCACTCAATCGCTTTCTCAGAACAACAGTTTCCCAGGGGCTGGGGAATGTGCATGGGGTGGGGAGGAAAGAGGCAGTTGTTTCTGCTCATCCTCCCATTTGCTCATGGCTGCAATGCCACAGATGTTCCAGGCTGGCAGACATGACGCTCAGGTGCCTCCCACACATGGAATCCACCCTCAGCTCGGCAGTGGCTGGAGCTTTCCATCCTCCACGGCCTCTTGTCCCTGACAAGTCAGAAAGTTTCATTTCACTCGGGGAAATCAGACTGCTCCTCTGAGCCACTGCTGCAGAGTGCACTGAGGGAGCAGTAGGGAGACTTGTGATGGAGGCTCCAGCCTCTGACGGTCACACAGATCTATCGCTCAGCTTCCGACGCGTCTCCCCAGCCAGTCAGTTTATCAGCATCTGGCAGAGCCACTCTGTGCATTTACGTCTCCTCCCCCAGCAGGTGGGAGGGCAGGGAGGGAGCCACTCTTAGGAGGGGGAGTCAGGCTGGCTGGTGTATGGCATATTCAACCCGGGGAAATGCGGAGACCGAGCATCACTCCAGAACTGCCAGCACCCCCGCTGGTTGGGAAGGAATGGAGAGGTTGGGTCGCGCCATCCATCAGGGAAGGAAATTCTAATAAGGGTGTAGAGGCTGCTAGGCTGAACCGTGAATCTGTACCCCAGTCCCAGCCCCCGGGAGCATGAGGAACAGCTCGCACTGCAGGAGTGTGACCAGGACTGAGGAGCATTGGCAGAGCTGTGTGGGGCTGGGCCAAGCCTGGAAGAGTCGAGGTGCTGCAGGTCAGGAGTGAGGGGCATTGCAGACCTGTGATGGGCTGGGCCAGGCCTGGAAGAGTCGAGATGCTGCAGGTCAGGAGTGAGGGGCATTGCAGAGCTGTGATGGGCTGGGCCAGGCCTGGAAGAGTCGAGGTGCTGCAGGTCAGGAGTGAGGGGCATTGCAGAGCTGTGATGGGCTGGGCCAGGCCTGGAAGAGTCGAGGTGCTGCAGGTCAGAAGTGAGGGGCATTGCAGAGCTGCATGGGGATACTAGGACTTCAATAGATGGGGGTGCTCTTGGTCAGGACTGAGGGACATGGGGAGGGATGCAAGGACTGGACTGGCAGAGGCATTGGCCTCCTAAACTAGCCCTGTGCTTGCTGCATGGAGAAGTGGGAAGGGAGCCTGTGGCTGCTGGTGGAATGAGGATCTCATTTGCTGGCTCCCAGGTCTGTGGCTCCCCTCAGCTGGGAAGAATTGCTGTGGGGGATGGGGGGTAGCAGATGGCAGGGTTGTGAGCAGCTCCTGTGTTGGTGGTTACTGGTGAGATAAGCAAAGTCAATAGTAATTAACCCCCAGCATTTAAAGTGTGAACAGACATTAGCAGAGAGGTTAATGAGCTCATTTCCCTGTCACTTCCCACCCCCCACAAGCAGCCCCCACAAGCAGCCAGGCAGGTAACAGGACCTAGTGCTGGGTAGTTCCCTGCTGGGCTCTGGAAGCCCCAAGGAGACAAAATCGGAAGAGGCACCTTCCCACCCCAGGTTCTCTCTGTCTGTCTAAGTGCTTCAATAGCCCTCATCACCTCGTTTCCCAATCCCTATCTCCCACTCTGTCGCCTGAGCCCAGCTCTGAGCATCATCCCCTGGGCTGATCAAAGCCTTGTCAGGGCTGACCGACATGGGCAAGCATAACTCAGCCAGCGTGTGGGGAGAGGGAGTGTCAGCCTGCTGGGAGGGCCTGGCAGGTAGCCTGGGCCAGCCAGCACCTGTGTGCACACAGGGTGCATTGCCCTGCCAATTCTAGACCAGATTGGGCCTTTGGATGTGAGCAGGGCCCTGTCAGTGCCCAGGACTCTCACCCTCCTACTCCTAGCTCTGTTCCTTCTCCCTCGTGCACAGGGTTCTCATGGGCTGTCCATGGCCCATTGCTCTCTCCCTTTCCTTGCCAGGAGTGTCTCCAGCCTGGTTACACACTTTAATGGCCCCAATCACCTAGCAACAGCAGTCTCTAATGTGTCGTGGGGTAACAGCACAGAGGCCAGGCCTTACCTAGAGCTGGAGATCCTGGGGGCTGGCAGGCAGAGGGCTCCCAGCATGCTGATCCCCTTGGAGTAATGAGTTGGGGCCTGCCCTGGATCGCTGTGCACTGGGAGGGATGCTGAGGTGGCCCTGGGTTTCTGTGCTCACTAGAATCAGGCTGCTTGCCCCACAGCATGTCACCAATGTGATGTAGCCCCATCCCATTCGAGGGCTGTTTGATTTGGCCGATATCTGTCACCAGGGGAGGCCTGTGCGATGGGCCCAGGCTAATTCTAGGCTGAACGTCAGCGCCCAGAAACAGATTCTGGGGACGGCCCTGGTTGTGCTCCTTCAGCACAAAGAGGGTGGGCTGGTGTTGGGAGGGAAGTGAATAGCTGTTCCCTAGAGATGAGACAGGTATGGGGTGGTACTCCAAAGGCAGTTCTGGGTGGGTGTGGGGGACACTTACTGTTGGGTGGAGGAAGGGCCAGTGTAGTAGATACCACAGGAGAGACAGACCAAGAGGGGAGAGCAGAGAGTCCAGGACTGCAAGCCCTGGGCTCTGAGGAGCTCTGGAGCCTGTGACCACTTGAGGAAGAGGGGAGGAGGGTGAGGAGTTCCCAGCCCTCCAGTTGGGATGAATAAAACATGGCTGCTGCTTCCTTCCTTCCTTCCAGCCCCTCTCCATCCCCCCCACAGTGCCGGCTCAGAGGAATACATTACTGATCCCATCAAAGGGAGGGAGGGTGCTTTCATTTCAGAGACAATGAAAAATGTCTCTGGTTCCCTTGGGTGCATGGCTGCCTGTTCCCAGATTTAAAGTGACAGGAACTCCCCCTTTGATAGCTGCAGGGATCAGCCTTGATCTGTGGTAGAAGGGAGACACAGGGCCGGGAAAGAGAGAACAGGAGGCTGATGCTGCAAACCTACAGCAGGCAGGGCAGGTGTGTGTGGGAATCCCCCGTCCTCGCAGCCACCGACAAGGGCTCCGGTTTGCAGATGGCAACTGTGGGGGCTTAGACTGCAGAGACCAGGATGTGGGAATTCCCAACGGTCATGTGGTATCCGGCTCCACCCCTCTGAAAAGGCTGGGAGATTCGTCCTGAGCCGAGGCACAGTGCAGGGGCAGAGGTTTCCAGATACCGTGTGGGGTCATTACAAACATAACCCAGCTGAAAGGGGTGGTGGCTAGCTTGGGGGCAGGCAACTAGAGACAGTGCTTTCCACCTCCAGTGCTCCCCTTCCAAGGGGTGGGGGGACTCAGGTCATTGGGCCTGGCTGTTCCAGGGGCTGGAGGAAAGAGAGACAGAGCCCTTCACCGGCTGGCCAGCTGTAGCTGTAATTGTGGCCATGGCCTATGTGAAATGGGTGTGGGGTGCCAGTCTGGTTCCTGCAGGATCACACGGGCTGGTGCTAGTCACCTCCTGTGGGAAAGCTCAGACCAGAGAGGCCTTGGAGAGTAAACTCCTCACCTCCTGGGGACAGAGTCCCTCCAGGGCAAGGCTGAGGCACACGGGCAGGGCGGCATGGGAGGGAAGCCTGCCCTACCACTCCCTGGCCTATGCCCACTCCCACTCGGTGGGTAGATAAAGCTGGTGCTCTCCAACTTGGCACCCTGCACCAGTAGAGTCACAGGCCCAGCTCCTCCCAGGGGGTTAGGGTCCCAACTCCCACTGATGTCAGTGAAGCCTAAATATCTTTGGGGGCCTGGGCCAACGACTTCAGAGACCTTCCCTGGAGCTGTCCTGGGGCAACACTCTGGGGGTTACAGGGTGTTTTCCCTATGGAGAAAGGGAGCCTGTCAACCTTGGCCATCCCAGGGTCACTGAGAAAGAAGTTTCCTGTTGAAGAAAGGAGACCCAGCTTCCTCCATTAGCTATATTGTATAGCGTGCCGGTGAGATGCTCCGCCAGCAATGCTGCAGGGCACGGCCATGAGGGTTTCTTCTTAGTGGAACTGATTAAATGAGTGCATGTGAAACCGAGGGACTGGAGTGCTGAGTACTCAGGAAAGGGTGGGCAGGAGCGGCTGAAGCATCCCAGTACTGCTCGGCTGATACACTTCATCCCCTGCTAGTCCAGCCCTCAGCTCTCCCCATACAGCGCTCCTGATGCCCCACAGTACTGACCACAGATCCTGCCCCCTCGTGCAGCAGGCCCCTTCCAGCCTCCCTGGGGCAGAGACTTCCAGTTCCGCAGGAATTGTGAGCTGATTTTCGTATGCAGTGAGACTGAGAGAGTGGGACTCATTGCATTGGTGACCTAAGCAAGCTTGTGAACTTCGTTCTGCAGGGCTACATGTGTAGTAAGAGCCTCAATAATTACGAGTTTGAAGGTGTTCTCGGCCATGCCATAAAGCCCTGTATGCGCTGGTAGCTAATGAGAGAGTATTGAAATAGACAGGGCTGCCCAGAGGATTCAGGGGGCCTGGGGCAAAACAATTTCGGGGCCCCTTCCATAAAAAACAGTTGCAATACTATAGAATACTATATTATCGTGGGGGCCCCGGTGAGGCCTGGGGCCTGGGGCAAATTGCCCCACTTGCCCCTCCCCTCCCCCCCAGGCAGCCCTGGAAATAGAGAGGGATTCATCCCGTCTAACCCTGGAATTTTATGGTTCTCCATTCCCTCTCTGGAGCCATAGGCAGCAGAGACAAACCCCAGTGGAACTGACATTTCCTGCCTCAGTGACCATGGCAAAGAGTTCAGCTTGTCTGAATGATGGCGCAACTTTGAACTTAGGGCCCTGCTGAAGTTCCAGCCATGGCCTTGCGTGGCAGGCAGCGCCACCCAGTGGCCATGCAGGCAAATGACAACAGTGCATTCGCTGTTGTAGCTATGTCCGTCCCAGGATATTAGAGATAAGGTAGGTGAGGTAATTTCTTTTATTGGATTGACTTCTGTTGGTGAGAGAGACAAGCGTTTGAGCTTTGTGTAAGTCCAAAAGCTTGTCTCTTTCAGCAACAGAAGTTGGTCCAATAAAAGATATTACCACACCCACCTTGTTTTTCTAACAGCGTATGCACAACAGACCTCTACGTAACAGCACAGGAAGCAGAGATGGAAAAGACCCATTAGGTCTTGCAGCCTTTCTCCCCAAGGCCAACGCGGGATTGCTGCCCCAAGCCAGTGGTCCAAGCCAAAGGAGATTCCCTCTAAAGACAGAGAGGAGTTCACTCTCCAGAGTTTATGCAATCTCTGGCCTTTCTACTGGGCCTGCTGTCAAAAAGTTCATCGGATGGCACTTACACTGGTGGTTTATAATGAATACCCCAGTCCATTAGGCTACTGGACTAAAGCCAGGCCCTGTGTCCTGTTACCTGGTTTCCTGGCGGTGGATTGGGTTCCCTGTGGATAACCCAGGTTCTGTTACTCTGGGGCACTAACCCCATTCCATCTCCTTGCTAGTCCCTTCATGGGAGCAGTAATGTGTGCCCTTTACTCCTCACACCGCTGCCAAGGCAACAGATTGAAATAAGGAAATGGGATGGCTTCAGTCAGTGCCAGCAAAATCTGACTGTGTCGACTTGCGCCCCTGCTATTCCTGTCTTCCCTTGCAACTCCTCAGCCCTGGCCTGTGCTACCCCCTTCTGCTCCAGTTGTGGGCCCACACGCTGTGCAGCCAATGCACCTCGGTCCACACCTGCAGCATCCCTGATACTCTAATTCTGGTCTCAGCAAAGCTCTACTCATGTACCGCAGCCCAGACCTGCAGCCTCCCCCTCATTACATCCTTGGGACTCCACCTAGCTCTGCCGATGTCCCTCACTTCTGACCTGCAACCTCCCTTTTATCCAGGCCCACTCCCCTCCGAGCAGAGACCCCTGGAAGCTTCTGGTTTGTGGACAAACCTCCTTTAAGGACTAGGCTGAGGACAGCAAACTCATTTCACTTATAGCTGTGAGCCCTGGAGGAGACAGCCGCCATCAATGCTGCAACAGAGTGAAAAGCCAGAGAGGGCCGTTGTAGTGTCTTACTGGCCTTTACAAAGCATTTCCTTCTGCTTGGACCTCTTTGCTATGCAATATACTAACCTGTTAGTGCTTAGTGCCAGGATGTAGGACCCTGTTAGTTGGCAGCAGGGGCTTTGATGTGGGAATAGCTTTGGGAATCTCCATGCCGTAAGTGCCCATCTCACCTGGAGCAGAGAGGATCTCTAGTGGCTTCCAACTTGGGGGTAAGGTCAGAGCTGCTGGGTCCAACCATCAGCGAAGCCTGGCCAGGTGCCTGCAGGGATCAGGTCACATCCCTGCACTCGTGCTCCAAAGGGAAGTGCTTGCACTGAATGAACTCTGTGAAGTGAGGCACATGTGGGGCCCAGCTCGCTGTGTCACTATCCCTGAGACTCTCTGCGTTAGGGGGTTGCCTCTGGCTGCCCTCCTCACACCTGCAACTGGATCACTCTGCTGTGCTGCGTCGTGATGACTTGGGTCTGGGCTCGTCATAGGAGGAACCCTCTGACCTGTCTCAGCCAGGCCCCAAGTCTGTCCCATAAGAGGAAGATGGGAGGGTTTATGAGAGGCCCTCTGCAGTTGGGGATGAGGGGGTCAGATGCAAGCAGGCGCTGGGAGGCCCTGTCTGGAGATTCATCTCTCAGAGCTGCTGGGAGGTGGGTCGTTGGTGAGCAGTACACGTCCCACTCCAGGCTGTTCCCCTCTCCCAGCCTATGGGGTTACAACTGGCACTGGCAGCAGTATTAGCAGCCCAGAAGGCAGATGCATTTCAGCTCAGGGGCAGAAGGACTGAAACCCCAAAGCGACCCTCCCCCCCCCGCAACCTCTGTGATCCCATTGGGCTGGAGAGCCAGTGCTCCAAATTCCAGAGCTCGGGGAGGTTAGAGGCTCACCCCGTGGCGATTAGGAAGGGTGAGGGACAGCCTTGTGCAGCTGGGGAACAGCTGCCTGCAGGCTCTGCTGCCCACACCATACTGACCTCGCTGTGGCACTGTTCTCTGGACTGTGCTGGATCCGGGGCAGGAAAGCCCCTCCGGGGACTGGAGGCAGCAGGCAAGGCTGGGAAACAGTTCTTCCTTAGGGATGAGGCTTCGGCTGACAGCTGAGCTCTGCGGCCAGGGTGACGAGCAAAGACCTGCCTTGTGCCTATGCTGGGATCTGAAGGGAGCTCTCTTAGTTCGGCGGGAATCCTCCTGCAGAGCTCAGCCTGTGCACCTTGCACCCATAGCTGTGCCCAGCTACCTCGGGCCTAGCAATGGGAGACACTTAGCCTCAGGGTGATGGGGCTGGGCACAACTGAGATGGTGCCTCCTGGGACACGTGGGGACCTTTAGGTTTCACCCTGGTATGTGAATTATGCCCCTCCACTAAGGAGCGAGAACAGACAGAGCTGCAGGTCCGTCATACTCCCGCAGGGGGCAGTGTTACAGCCTATGGCACAGGTAAATCCTGCCACCCAGAGTGCACTGGGCCATGTGTGTCCCGGAGCCACAGGCAGCGTCTCTCACACACACGGTCTCTCAGTGCGGCAGGGCAGGACTGGCTAGCACCGGGGACACTGGGGAGCAGGGAACTGGCACCGAGGCTGATGGGTCCGATGCTCAGTGACTCACAGTCAGGGAGGATATTTGGCCAGCTCTCAGTCTCTTGCTAGGGGGACTCTTTACAGGGCCTGGGAAGGGCAAGGTGCCCCGGCCCACACCCACCCTGGTGCTTGGGGAATGGAACTGGGGTGGCTGTGGGCTGCTGTGAGATGCTCGTGCACCTATGGGGAAGGGAGACCCGTTCAGCTGGCCTCCAGCCTGGCTGGTTCCTGTCCAGGCAACTTGGGGGCAGTGACCTCTGTCCCTTACTGCTGGGAGCCCCCCAGTTCTGCTCCAGGTTGTGTCCTGAGCCCCTTGTTCCGTTCTCGTCCCCAACAGGTGACAACTGCGAGGTGGACAGCCGCTCAGGGCGCTGCCTCCCTGGCGTGTGCCGGAACGGCGGCACCTGCACCAACTCTGCGGATGGCGGCTTCCAATGCCAGTGCCCCTCTGGGGGCTTTGAGAAGCCCTACTGCGAAGTCTCCACACGCTCCTTCCCCCCCAAGTCCTTCGTCATGTTCCGGGGGCTGCGCCAGAGGTTCCACCTCACCCTCTCCCTCTCGTAAGTCCTGCTCTTCCTTCTACGTGGCGTACTTCCCCCAGGGGGGTGGCATGGGTGCCCAGGGCCCTGCCAAAGCATCTGGGACCCACCCAACCAAGGACTCTCCCAGCCCAGGGCCCTGCTGAAGCACCGGGGTGGGGGGAGGGGAAGGGGAGTTCGTCAATTTATCCCGAGGCTCCTGTGAAGTGCCTAGGGCCCACCAACTATGGGCACACTCCTGGGCCCCCTGTCCAGTGAATTGCTGAAGTGTCCAGAGCCCTCCCCACTGGAATGCCTTGGTCCTGCCCAGCCCAGGGGCCTATGAAACATTCCCATTGCACTCTGTAAAGCCTCACTCCCGGGATTTGCAGGGAAAAGCTCTCTATAGATATTGCATTCAGCCCCCTTCCTTCCCCCCGCCTCTCAGCTCCTCTTTGGAGCCCTGCTGGTAGAGCTGCATGGGGTAAATACACCCTGGAAAGTATTGTCCCTGGGGATTCCTAGCTGGTTCCCGCTGAAAGGGGGTGAACCGGCTGGATCGGTTACTCCCTTGTGACTCTCTAAGGGGCACTGCTCCCTCTGCTCTCCCGTGAGCCACACCCAGGATCTGTGCTCTGCTCTCCGTGTCAGGTTCGCCACCCTGGAGCGCAGCGGCCTCTTGCTCTACAATGGGCGCCTGAATGAGAAGCATGACTTCCTGGCCGTGGAAATCATTGATGGGCAAGTCCAGCTGAAATACTCCACAGGTGCGTGTGCCCGGATCCTGTGGGTATAGCAGCAACTTGCATACGGGCACGAGAGCTTCTCAGCGTGTGTGTGAGGGTGGAAGAGAGGGTGTGTGTGCACAGGGGTATGGCTATGAGAGAGGGAGTGCACACCCGTGTGTGTGTGTGTGTGTGGCATCCATCTGAGGTGGCAGGAGGTGTGAGCACAGAGTTGTGTGTGTTTGCATAGGATTGTGTGTGTGTAGGAGTGTATGTTGGGGATGTGAGTGTGTATGCATGCAAAGGAGTGCATGTGTGTGTGTTATCGCCATCGAAGGCAGTGTGTGTGTGTGTGCGTGTGTTATCGCCATCGAAGGCAGTGTGTGCGTGTGTGTGTGTGTTATCGCCATCGAAGGCAGTGTTTGTGTGCATGTGTGTGTGTGTTATCGCCATCGAAGGCAGTGTTTGTGTGTGTGTACGTGCGTGTGTTATCACCATCGAAGGCAGTGTGTGCGTGTGTGTGTGTGTTATCGCCATCGAAGGCAGTGTTTGTGTGCGTGCGTGTGTTATCGCCATCGAAGGCAGTGTGTGCGTGTGTGTGTGTGTTATCGCCATCGAAGGGAGAGTGTGTGTGCGCGT